TGTCGCCGTAGTAAATGCATTTAGTGTATGTACCTTGCATCATAATAAAGTTATCGAGATATCTTTCTCTTACTGAGTACAATGTCTGATAAATCTACAGTTAAATCTATTAAACCTGCAGGTTTTTGTTTTTGTATGAAACTTTCCATCAGATATTATTGCGAGAAGCTAATAATATTCTATTTAAAATTTTAGAAATCCACACAAAGACATGTAAACTTTCAATGTGGAGTGGATGTCAATGGCGCATCAGGACCTATCAGGCTTAGGGTAAAAGTACCTACTGCCAGCCAGTAAACTTAAAGTTTGTCACTGCTGAAATTGTAGTTAAATTCTGAATGTAGAAGCAACCTGAACCTTATTATCCTTAGTGATAAAGAACTTATTCTAAGAAATATATTTGAGAAACGTGGAGAGAATAATGAACTCCAAAAACGGTATTCCATACTAACTTACTTATATCCAATTTGGAATCAACAAGCAAGATTAATTATGGTGGGAATATAACTAAAATGTACCGTTTCTATCTTCACCGCTATATAAAGGCAACGTTATAACAAAAAGACATCAAGTCTATTTAAGTACAACCAGTTTGGATAAATATAAAAGCGTGTATAAAAGCTGACCGTTTTCGCAAAGTGGAGATCATTAGCTAGAGGTCCGATGTAATCTCTTCTTGTTCGTGCGCCTCGCTGACCCTTAGGGTCAGTATTAATCTTCGCGATAAACCGCTTTCACGGATCTCTTCAGGTATAGAGACTACGGAGTTCCTTGGCATCGGTTCTAGTTAAACTAAACAAGTTCATACGATTTAGTGCATTTAAGGCAGTCAATAATCTTGTAGATAATTTAGAATAAATAGAATGGTTTCAACACAGTGAAATATTGCAACTATTTTCGGTTTGTTATCTAGACTAGAAGCCACTGCTTATCATTTGCAATTTATTGCAAATGATAACAATCGCTCTATCTGCCGACAATTGTGTAAAATCGTGTACTGAAAAATAAACTAATTGCCGCCGCGTTATTTATGTATGTGATTATGTAGTAAAATGACGAATTCTATTAAAAAGCAACAACAACAACAACAAAATCAAAATATTTGAAGTTCTGAGTACCTATAAGTAACCAGCAGCCAATTATGATGAACATTCACTAAGATGCTTAGATTGTCGTTTTAATTCTTAGATTTCCTTAAATCTATTGGCGGCAATTGACTCAATTTATTGACGTAAAGTGCTTTTAAGATGACATTTTCTTTTAATCAACTCACATCTAGAAAATATTATGTGTTCCACAAAATAAATATAACATACGGTAACATTCAATAACATAAAAACAAAAACGGAGACCTCAAAGGCATTGTTTGGACAAAAATTGATGTCATCTTGTAGGTTTTGTTGAATTAAGTGCTAAGACTAAGTTGCTAAATGTTGTACTCACCAATCAATTTCTCCTGTATGTAAACGTCACTTATTCTTATTTGTAAACAAATGTATGAGTGATTTGTAAAGATTAAATGCAACGAATACGTGCGCACGCAACGACTCTCGGAGTCACACTGGCGGCGCGGGAAGCGAGTCAGCGCACAGCATGAGCACTGAGGCGAGTCGAGTAGTGTACTGGTCCTTTGCAAATCGAGTTCATCATGATACTAAATTATACTAAACCAAGGTTTTTTCGAGATCCATGGACTCATTTTATCTTTATACTACAGCTTCAACGTCAAATGAATGTATTTAGTTTTCGAAAACAACTAAGTTAATAATTTACGTTTAAAAAATAATTCTTCATTAATATAGTTATGATAGGACAAAAAAGCATAACAATGTAAATTATATTTAAAAAAGCTAAATTCTGGTATTTGTTAACCTACACCAAGTAAACATAGACTTATTACTACTATGGAGAAAGTTGCCGCACTAGTATACATACGGTTTGTAGCCTTTAAGTTTTGCGTATTTATAAACGGTCGAGTGTAGTGACTGCGAAAGCAAGCGTTATATAAACATTTAGCGGACCCAGACAGATGTCAGATTTGCAACTGGCCTAGTATCAATGCCTACAGTTACCGTGAGGTCCATGTAAATGATTTAAATTATACCTACAGGCCATTTTATTTCCTATCACCTCCGGTTACAGGTCATTATTGCTTGATTTCCAACGTTCTCGATTCGGTAAAGACAACTCGACATAAACATATGAAACGTATCTATGGTTAAATCAAAAATAACGAGTCACGAGAACGAAATGTCTTATCCAAAGAAAGAGAATGGATATAATATATCAGATACGGTGGTAATAACCCGAATCCGTTAGTTCCCACGGCCCAGTGGATATCTATCGACGACTCGACAAACCGGAATCGAACTACATGCACCTAAAGCACATTGGTTTTATCAAATTGACACAACGACCTGCCTCTGGGCCAGTTTTAAACTTCACTGCACAAAAACCGTTGTTATGTTTATTGGAATCCCATAAGAACGATATTATCGAGCGAAACTTTTACGACTGTATGTTATAGTTCCTACTTTTATTTTCATATTCAAAATTAAATATGTTTCAATACGAAGTCACTGAACTAAGTTCTAAGAATACAGTTTTAACTAAAGTACTGGACCATCTTTCCGCTTTTATATTTAAATTCTGTAATCTTAATCTTCGACATAAAAATGTCAAACAATAAAAAGTGTTGAAATATTAGATAACATGAACCACTTTACAAAACCGCGTCGCCGAAACTGGACATTGTTCTCTTTACGTAATCGTTGCATGAATCCACTTAAAAAAGGATCATTGTCCGAAAGTGAGAAGTATTGTGTGTCACGGCAGGTAGCGACGCGCCGCGCGTGCTCTTACCATAGAACAACTTAGAGATAATCTTATTCTGAGTACGAGCACCAATTGTGGCGAAATAAGGGCTCTCGAGGTACATATTTTGTTAGGGTAAAAATGCTCACTGTTTTCATTTACAATACAAAAGACTCTATCAATATATGTAGGTTCTTCTTCTTCTTCTTCCTTAGCTCTACAGCCCTTTGTGGGCCTTGGCTTGGTCAAGCAATTTTTATATATATTGCAAAAACTCCATACAAAATCATTTTTGTCCTTGTTATTTTCAGAAATAATGACAGCGATGACGAGATGTTTTTGCATTAGTGTTTCGTCAGGGACGGTGATAATCACTTGCGCCGGCAATCAAGAAACAAAAGTAGACAGAATTCAATAGACTTATGTAAACCTGTAGTAAATTTTAAAAGTAAACTTTGTGTGATTTATGAGCTCTGTTACTGAAATTTTTGTTTGAAAGTTTTCCCAGCAAACGGTTTACCGTTTTATCTTCTTATATTATCTTCGGATAATGCGTAGGTGTGTGCTTGGAAGTTAAAAGGAGGATCTTAAATAAACTTTTATTTTAAAGACAGTAGTAAAACACCTAACATTAAGCTTTAAATTAAAAAAGCGTTAAGTGAAACTCTATCAGTTGATTGACGAGATGAACTTTGTATGTTTATGGTTTTCGGACATTAAACCTTTGAAAGCTGGTGTAAATCTACACATTTAAGTAACTTTGAAATAGTCGTGATTTCTTGCATTGCGGAAACTAGGTGATTAATTAGACTTATACAGATATCAGTGAGGCGTGCACGCGCCGCGGCTGCACCGCGCCCGCACCGCGCCGTCTCGGTAAAAGTGAAACCGATATCGTGCCTGGGATCTAGCCATTTATCAGTCGGCCATTTCTTTCCTATCTGATACTTTCGCGGCTAAACTACACGGATAACTATATCTATACGTACGATTTGAAAGTCTTTACCAAACTGTACTCGCGTTGTGGAAATGTCACGCTATCCTTTATAGTACCGTGTTAAGATAAATTGATTTATTTCAATTTAAAAACATTTATTAACGGTTGTCTTTTTATCAGAAGTGGAGCAATATTTTTCAATTAACGAGGGAAAGTTTGAAAGTGGTTTAAAAATCAGTAATCTAGGTTTGTTGTACCAGACTCTGACTTATCCAAATATAAACTTCGTTGCACCTGTTATTCATGGCGACAATTTTTATACCAGATTCTGTAAACATTCTTCATTAAAAAAAAATGCGAATCGGACTTAATTAAAAACTAATTGTTACATTTTACAATAGCTAAGTCAATGAATTGCGATTGCGAATAATGAAGATGTTATGTTATTACACATTTCAAATTTAATACCAAATTTCAAACATTTTTTTGGCTCATACCATATCTTAATTTGTGTGTAGGTTCAAGTTGTGATGACTTTAACATCTACTTGACTGGTCTTAAAGAGGCTAATGTCGCAAATGTATGGTACTAGACGTCACAATGGAACGGATTTGCGACCATCCGTAGACTCCTATATCTTCTTATAATTTATAAGTTCATAGTAAATTGACTCACATTTAAAGTTTATAGACGTTTTCAGTTGATTTTACATGTTTTATACACTACATCTTTTGATTTCTGATGTTTTTTTACGACCACACTTCGTCTTGCTGTACTTATCCGGATTACGCCTGTACTTAGTTATAATGTTAAAGCAAAAAGCTTGTTCCGTTTCCCAGTGTTGTGATTGTTAGCTCGAGCATCCGTAGTGGTATATCAAGGGCGGGAGTGTGCGATAGTCCAGATTATCTTCTTATTTATAGCGCACTAACAAGACGCAGGCGGACGTTCTCGATCCTGTCGAGAGATTATCGCAACAATTGAAAGGAATAATGATCACAGCACAGATCTTACCGTTTTCACAGTAAATACACTACATAGACATATTGTTATTTCAGATTTTTCAGAGTGAAAAGGATGTAAATGCTTTTGTACACGAGTTTTGCTAGTTGAAATATCAGATTATATTTATGAACGTGGACCGTGTTATAAAGAGATTTGGTTGCCCAGTTTTTATTTGTCCTGGTTCGACTGTACTATGATAATAATGTTCATCTCTTTTGTTACATGCTTGCTTTCACCACAATAGGATCAGGTATGTACACAAAGAAATGTATTTAAAATCAATTTTGATTGTGTGAGCGTGATCATGTGAATTCCTTAGTAAATATTTTAAGTATTTTAGTTTAAGTCTATCGTAAGTATCAATAGAATGTTTGACGAATAGCTTTGAACGCAGAACTAGGAGATTTAGAAAGCTAGCTAGATTGCTACATCCCATACACATAAATTAAATATAAATAAAAAATTCCAATTTGTCATGGAATAATTGAAATAGATTTGGTAAAATTTTGAGATTTCTGGGGTGTCAAGTATTATTAAGTTAGTCGAAGTCGAAGTGGCTTGCATTGGCGATAATGCAACTTGGGTTAGTGTGGCGCAGAGGCGCAGAGGCGCAGTTGTGATGCTGAGTGAGAGTGATGTTTCAGTGCGGCTATCTCGAGGGCCTGCGCTCATCACTCGGTGGCTGGACGCAGAAAGTAAAGTCGTGGTACTGGGGACGACCTCTAGTAAGTGGCCCGGCCTCACGCCGACGGATCGACCGAACTGTCCTAGCACATTGAAAATTATTACTTTTGCACGATGTTTCTTTTAACAAAAAATATATTTTTTTTTACAATTTATTTGAATTGGATATATTACGCTTCGAAGGAAACGATTGCTTGGTGTTTATAGTCTACATTTTACTTATTGTATGTTTTCTCACATCAGTTTCGGGCGCACATTGATTTCGTTTTGTTTTGAACAGCTTAATTATTTTCAAAATTTCTTCTTTCATTTTATTAAGAGGTAGATAGCACAAGTCAAAATTTAGTCGTAACGGTTTACTTCATTAGCCTGTAGAAGTAAAATGTCTCAATTGGATCCAGCTAACATGTTGCATGACGGATTTAGTAAAAATATAATTTGTTTAGATGTAACAATCATAAAATTCATCGCGAGTCGTATCGTCCAATATCCCAGGCAATTCGTAGGACTTTCAAAAGATTGTGCATGTTGACTTAATGGCATTTTTTTAATACAAAATTATGTTTTCTTTATTTATTATATTATACATCTGTATCTTTGTAATATACTGGCGTTACGTTTACGTTTGTAAAGTTTTGATTTGCGTCATATTTTTCATTTATTATTTTATAATTGTACCTGTCCAGTTTGTTCAAAATATTGGGTTAACGACTCTCCATAACATGTTGTACACTTGTATCGAATACCTTTGTACCACGCCACCGAGTGATCGATACGCATGATTCCAGCCTCCAGCCTCCAGCTCACATCTCACTTACAGCTCGTCGACACAATCGACTACAGATCACTTACATGATGTAACCGAAGGCGCAAGGCCGCCGCCGGCGCCGGCCGTGCCCCGTTTTCCCGCCTCGCCCCTGCCTCGCCCCCGCCCCGCTCGACCAGCTACACCCTCCGCAATTGTTCTTAGAGCACTCGATTGTAATCAGTAGAGGCTGAATCAAATCTCGCTGTAATTAGATATGTAGCTATACAAATTAGTATGGATGTGGTATAGTTAGTTATTAGGCCGTAGCAATCGAACAAATCCCATTCCGAGGGTACGGCCGGTATCGGTGAAGCCACATTTTATGTTCGTTTTACAATTTGACACTATTGAATGTATTATGTGTGGTGGTGATTGTGTTTTGATGTGTATTGTAACTGTTGCAGGAGTTGGCCCATAAGTTGTCGCGAAGCTTCGACATGAAGGAAGAGGGCGGCGTGGGGGCGGGGGCGGAGGAGCGCGCCGGCATGCGCCGGCACCAGTCGATGCAGCGCCTGGCGCACGGTGAGACGCAACTCGAGGAGAGCCGCGCGGCGCGCGTGGTGCCCGACCACCACGGCAACCTGCACATCACCGTTAAGAAGACTAAACCGATACTCGGGATAGCGATAGAGGGCGGCGCCAATACAAAACATCCCCTGCCGAGAATAATCAATATACATGTGGGTTTGAAATAAGTAAAACTTTTCAAAAACGTACGCGTAGAGACGTTCATGTTTCGACGGCGAAATTATTCGACTCTAGCTTTTAGACTTTCGTAGTCTCGCCTCTCCCACCGTTGGCGGATTTAGGATATTTAGCTAGTTGCATATTTCTTTTGCGGTTAACCTAGATCTAAAATGATTTTATAGTTTGTTACACATGCCGGCAAATCATCTAAGTATCATTTTGTTAATAACGATAATGGCATTTCGGTAATTAGCTTTGTTATAACATTATAATAGTTTAAGTGCGCGTCTAGTTGCGTTTCAATGAGAAGTCGTGTCATACTAATGTTCTAAATATTATTTTCTTCCATCAATGTAAAAATCTTTCAGGAGCATGGGGCGGCGTACGAGGCTGGGGGCCTGGAGGTGGGCCAGCTGATCCTGGCGGTGGACGGTCACCGGGTGGAAGGCATGCAACATCAGGATGTGGCCCGTCTTATAGCGGAGTCCTTCGCCCAGAGAGAGAAACCGGTATGTTCCGTTTGCACATATATGCAATAAAGAAAAAATGCAATGAATTCTCTAGTTGAGGCATATAGTATCTAAGAATGTATTTCTAACCTTTCAAAAATAATTCTTTACAGGAGATCGAGTTTTTAGTCGTCGAAGCAAAGAAATCCAACCTAGAACCAAAGCCGACAGCTCTAATTTTTCTGGAGGCCTAACATCTACTGTCCCTCCCCGCCAGCGACCCCCCGGCCGCGCTGGGCAGCGCGACGCCGGCGGTCGACCTCACCGCGCACACCACGGAATAGCCAACTCCAACCTGCGCTGCCACATGCTCTTCTAAGCCCGCGCTGCGTACTCGCGCGCGAATCGCCGCCGCTCGGTGACTCTCCTTGGTGAACAACCGGGCGAGCCCGGCCGGCGGCGGCCTCGTGAGCGGCGAAAGCGAGAGGCACTCTACGCGGAAGACTCGAGTACGACGTATACCGTTACCAACTTTTCTAACCTGACGTTGCAACGGACTGATATGAGAGAACAGGATGGCGATATAAAGCAGGTGTAAATATGGCTACAAAATTAATGGCACGAGGGAGGCAAATAAACTTAATATAACTCGACGATTTGTCTTAAAACACTAAAATGTAATATTGTTAAATACACTGCCCAACTAAATAGAATACGTCAATAAATTATCGTCCCTATGAAGTATTATTACATCGGGAATCTTGTGGGTAGTGTCAAAATTTTTGAACATATTTTTCTAGATAGCGATCAAAATTGATAGTAGTCGACGACTGAATTTTGTAAAATTTCATGCGGTACAATTATTATAATTCGATAAAAATCACGTTAACCAACACAATTAAAAAAAAATCGGCGATAGATCAATTTGTAGATTCAATTCCGCACTTTAATAGATCTAGAAATTTAAAAATCGATAACATAGATCTAACTAAGTCTCAGTTTTGAAACGAATCGTGCTAATTTGTTAGAGTGGCATTGGTGCTATGGAAATTAACTAGAATGTCGGAAAATTAAAGTTGTCATTATGATAGTAGTCAGTAGGAATCGATTCGAGCTTGTAACGTCGCGCGGCAAGATGTCCATGTCACTCCACTCGCAGTCATCCATGTGCCATGAGGGTTGCAACAAGGAAAGGTTCATCCCAATATCATCCCAGCTCGTTGTATCGGGGGTAGAAGCGGCCGAGCGGGGCCCTAGCATTGTCGTCATTCGTAGAGCAGAGCTTGCAGCACAAGGCGCGCTCCTAAGCAGGCTAACTTTTTTTTATTATTTTTCTCTACATTTTAAATCTCATTTATGTTTTTTTAATTTTAAATTTTATTTTTAAATTAAAAAGTAAGTTAAAATAAAAAGTCTAAAGTTTTAAAATTAGTGCATTATGTAGTTATTTTTTAAAAACGTTTCAGTCGGCAATTACGCCAATAAATACATACGAAAATTGAATTAATGAATCAGTCAGCTTAGAGAGTAGAAGATCAAATATGCGCCAACATGTCATTCCATTGGTAGATGAACGGTGAGTTAACGAAATTATGGCGGAGAGGGATTTTAGCCCACTCTCATTTTAACCGTAGTTATAAATAGTATAGTAATGAATGTGTGCAATATAATCGATGTTATGTTAGAGGTTAGTCGCTGCGATATCGATATTGCAGTCAATAAACGTCTCCGGCTCATGTAAGACGAACATTGTTTATTGTCTGCAATATTGTTTAGCACAAATGTATCTTCAAATTCAATATTATACGATTGTCGCTAAAGCTTACAAATGTTACATACAGCTGTAGATATTGTACACGTTCTCGCAATTGTATTATAAGAGCATATTCAATATGTTGTATCTATCATGTCTATATTATAATGTATACAATCGCCTACCGTTATGTAAATATACCATGATGTGTCTGTTCTCGTAAGCTGTAAATATCCAATGAATGTAATGTAAAATAGAATTTATACAAAATATTTAATAAAGTTAGTGCCAAACAGCATTTAACACTTTCTCTACTATATTTAAAGCGTGTTTATTACTGAGATAAAAGCATCTTGATGGCGGATTCTGTAACTAGATATTATACTTGCCACTTCACGGAATGCGCTTCTAATGTTAGGATTTGATACCAATCATTTTCCAATATTAAACAAACTATTAAATACACAATATTTTTGGTATTTAAAGTTTTATACTTTCACTATATACGGTATTTATATTTCCCAATGTCAATTTTAAGTTGAGTTAGTTGAATTTTTATTATGTGTTCAATACAGCGTACTTTTTTATTTGAAATGTTTAAGTAAACGGCACCGTTGCTTGTACATTATAACTGAATGTACGCATATTTAATTGGCGCTATATAAAGCCTTGAAGATAATTTATAACATACAGTTATTCAAATGTTATAAGTCTGATTTTACGGATTAGGTAATTTTAAATCGTTGGAATTAACAAAAATATCTAATCAAATAACTAAAAAATGGTAAACGTTTCTTTAATATTAATCTAATCCGTAAAATCAGTTACTTTGCTATTGAAATTATTTAGTGTATTATCTTTACTAGTGAACCAGTAACTCGAGATTTTTGTATAAAATAAATTGACTAAATATTTCAAATATCTCAAGTACCTGTTTCACTTAGATGTAACTTACTTTAGAAAGGCTGTGCGCTCGCCTAGCCTTATCGAGTCAATTCTTTTATCTACTTATCACAAAGCAATTTAAACGTAGGAATAAAATATGTTTATCGTATAACAAGATATTTACCTATTACGTGAAATGTACAATATTGTATGGTTGTTTACGAACTGCATCCGACTTTTACGTTAAGGGACTTCAGAATGGTTCTTTGGGCAACATTTCCTAGTGTTTCCGAGCCGTCCATTATTTTTTTTGCGTTTTTTTCTTCTCTGTGCTGAATTCCTGCATATTGTAGTTACCTAATGTACTTACTATATACGCAATGTGTTGGTAAACAATTCTGAGTACTGTTCGAGTAACCGCAAAGTTGATACTTGGCGCAAGCGTTTCGTTGACGGGATCTATGTTGTAGTCTGTTGTTAAGTTTGTCGTTGATGACAAAAATATATTGTTATCTAGATAATTTGTTGTTTTATTTATTGAAAGGATAGAGAAGATTTTTCCTTTTTAATAATACTACAGACAAAAGATAATTTCCACGCAATGGTGATTGTTCGCTTTTGTATTTGCGCAGAATCCCCCTAAAATGCCTTTAGTACCTTGCATTTATAAAATGTGATTGGAATATTGCTATTTACTTTTACCAGGCGTTACAAACATTTGAGAACAAAACTAATAAAATCGGACAATCACAGAAGGTATTAAAAGTTTTTGATTACTGCATTTTTTGCCAACCAGTTTGTTACATTTTATATGTTACATTCCGCTCTTTAAGGTTTATCGTTGATTGGATTTTACCGGAATAATTATGAAAATTGTAATATTTAACGGTTAAAGCTAACGGTTTGGACATTTTATCCACCTTACATTTTTAAAATATGTATCCGTTTATATCTCCTTTTGGGAGCGCCTAATTTTTTAGTTCACTTAGCATAACAAGCACATTGCACAAATATAGATAGTTCTAGGCTGTAAGTATGGGCGTGGAAATATTTTTCTTTTAAACTTATATCATAAAGATAACAATTATTTCCATAACAACAATTGACGTAGAAATCGTGGAAGAACTTATCTTGTTAAACAAAAATAAATGTCGTACGATTATGAACATGTATATTGTCATTCTAAAAACAATGTGATAAACCGAGTGGCTTCTTTTCTTGTTTTGTCGATAAAAATGCTAACTTTCTTCTTAGCAACAGATTTTCAACGTAACTACTCTAACTACATAACTACTCTTTCCAGTGGTACTTAAGTAAAAAAAAATTATAGCTACCCTTTCCTAGAGAATCGGAAGATGAAAAATAAATATAAAAGCTACTTAGAAAAATACCGTATAAATGACAGATGCCCTACACAAGCCTATATCCAAGCCTATTATCAACTACTGACGTCCATGGTATGACCTGCTGGGTTTTTCAAATGTCTTTTAAAATAACACGAGGTTATGTTTTAATACCTAAATTCTGCCTTTTATTTTTCCATTACTTGATTTTATCGCTTTACTGTTTCGCATTTCATGATGATTATGTCAAGATGTGCATTGAAATATTAAACATTTCAATGGCAAAGGTCGAAAAATAGTTTATATTTAAAAGAAAGAAAAAAAAACAACAAAAAAAACGATCTACACTGAGACAACAATGGACTTTTATTTGAGACAACATAGATACGCCTTTCAATTTAAAATCAATAAAAAACCGATTGCAAAATTTGCTATTTTTAAACTATGATAATACCGAAACACCTCGAATTAATCGTTTGCAGATCTATAATTAAAATTACATTTTCTTGGTTCAAGGTAAGATTCGTAAACTAGACAATAGCGTTAACGTAATCTATAAAATGTTTATTTTTAAGACGCTCTTTTTTAAGTGTCTGTATTTATACGAGTCACTAAATCTATTTTTATCAGATAAAATAGTTTTAAGGGTATTACCGACTAAGAATTTATAAGGTAAAAACACAATTAACTTAAACAATGAACAAAAAGAAACAAATTAAAAATAATTTCTGACGTTTTTAAAATAATGATTGTTTACGTAAAATAGATAAACGGTAAAGCCAACTTAAGTTAATTAATTCGGGGAAATTCAATATTACTGTTATGATTACCATTAAAAATGGCATCGGGTTATTTTCTATAGAATTTTCTATAAATTCCTTTCATAACTTAAATATTAGAAGAAAACTATATTGTTTAGACAACTTTTTAACTGTTGTTTTTTATTCACCCAATACATTATAACATAATATTACGCAATGGTTAGGAATTTTATGTCCACAGACACTAAAAGAATAATACAGTTTACTTTTTAATTTAAGATTGTGTAATATCGAACCATATATTATTTTAAACATTTTCATAAATGTAAACCTGCAGAATTTGATGAAACGTTAGTGGTATTTGAAAAAAAAATGCATGTCCTTAAAAATCTAAAAAAATACTAGACTTGGTCACGTTATGACTTTGCAAGGCAAACCAGGGCCATCTAGTTAATAATTAATAACTTTATTTTTCATCGTTAACGCTAAATAGTTGTTTTTATCACAAAAGCGATGATTACTATGTGTAAAAAATTAAGATAGATCGTTAGCTTTTTATCAACGTTTTAATTTACTCGTTTTATTAAACGTTTTTCAGATAAAAGATGGCCGTCCTGATGGTTGACACTTTCTGTTCAGCTTACACTTCTTAAGCCTAATTTGATATGTTTATGTCACACACCGTCACGTGTGTCATGTACACCTAACGTTTTCTAACACGTATTTTAAATCTGGTAAAAAGTTATTTATCGGGCTGTTACTTCTTGCTTAACCTTGTTTTTTATTGCCATTTTGTTCAAACTAGTTATTCAACATCTTTCTTGGTATTCATTAGCCGGAATTATCACTATTTAAACGAGATAGTTTTTTTTTTAATTTGTTTTACCTTTACATTTAATTAAAGTTTAACAAACAAATATAATAAATAAAATGTATTGTGGTATCTAATACGAATCAAAACTAGTACTTTAAATACAGAACTCAGACTTTTAATAGAAGGATAAATATACAGTATATTAGGTCCTAAGTGTATTGTAGAAATACACCAATATATATAAGTTTAAACTTAATTAAGGGCCTGTCCCACAAAATTGTAAATTGTGGTGGAAAGATCGGATTTTGTTCCGTTATCTGACAGTGACATCAATTTTAACCTATCTGAGCCTCTATCAGCCAGTAGTGGGACATGCCCTTAATCTTTCAAATCAGCGGAGGAACCGAAAAATTACATAGAATTTTGTCGAATTGGTCCAAACAAGAGAGCATTAATTAACTATACGTTATTGCGTTAATTAGTGGAATAAATAATACCGACGGTGAGGAACGATAACGAATCATTGGAAAGATAATAAACGATCTTAACTGCGCTTCAATTGTTTTGAATAGCACGAACATTTATTGAACGTGAAATAATCTTCATTGATGTGAAGTTATTTCCGTCTGACGCAACAAACAACTCAGTGTCACCTATGAATTTGTGCATAGGTAACCACAATTCGAATACAAAAAAAATAAACTGCTTAAATAGAAATGACATTTTTTTAATACAGTGATGAAATATTATACTTCTATTAACAACATCTTTGAATCCGAATTAACATTTTATTTTTCCGATTGACTTAAAATTCTTGATAATAATTT